TCCCCCGCTCTAACTATCCAAGCGAAAAGGGCAATGTTATATTTTCTTTTGCGTATTCAGTGGTATTCGGTAATGTCAGATAAATGAAAAACGCTGGTAGCAAATATTTAAAGCGGGAGGGTTGTCACCTGCGCACGCGCAGTAATTGAGTCCCAAGCGACGATAACAACACACGCTAAAACGCAAAGGCTTATGGGTAGACGCTTGTTTGTAAACAATGACACACTATGGCCATCTGACGCATGCGCAGGTGACGACTCCCCCGTTTTAACTTATGATGGACGACAACGACAACATCACGTTCGCGATGCACCATTATTTAGGTAGGGGAGATGATGGTCGGTTATTTTTTTGTTTCCGGAGTAATAAACCCATCATGATGTCACGGGGACTGAGATCCAATGCAGAATATACTTTCTCACATCTATTTCTATGAACAAATTAATATTTTGTATTGAATCGGAATATCACGAAACTCGATCAGTTATTTAATATACACACGGGCGTACTGTGGTAGAGTAATTTGGACTTACGGAAAAATCCAACAATATACCCACAAATGCGCGTACGCGATTAACATGACATACGATCGTATCGTATGTATGGGCGTTGATGGCGCTTGGTAGCTACACGGGTACTAACATCCCTCTTTACTGACCGTGGTAGTTATTACTGCTGTCAAACATCTTTCGCTAATCAAACAATCTAAATAAATTATTTTGTTGTTACTTTGGGTCCCACATAACACTACTTGTAGATATTACATCATGTGGGATAGACAGCAATTTCCCAGATATTGCAGTTAATGTGAAACAACTACTGAAACTTGTATGCACTATTAAATATTGGTAATAATTACCTTAACACCCAGGTAGCTGTCACCGTCCATACGTCATGCAGGCTCCATACGATTAAATTACATTTGCAATGTGTCAGTATAAACTGGATGTATTACATCATGTGGCAAATAGTCCTTTATTTAAATCTGAATAACAATGTTTCAGTATGCCATGTCCACATTGGTTTCCGTTGATAAATGCAGTATTTTGTTTTTCTAATTTGGATCGAGTTTGATACATATATAATATAAATTACACATGACGGTGCAACGAATTGGTAACACTGTTTTTATTTACAGTGCTAAACTATCTCAGTTACTCGTTCTATTTGTTAAATGCACCCCACTACTCTCATCAATGGAGTATTTATGCGCTCACTAGTTTTAGACAAGCACCGCTATTTAGTTCTATATCTAAACACCACTCACTATTCAGAAACGCAATAACAATATAATCTACTATGAACGTAGTGTATCCTATGTAAATTCAAAGCGTGCGGACATACAGCTGTCATTTGATTTGATAGATCATAGCAAGAAATGATATTAAAGAACTTATCCAGTTGTTATCGCGCTCATACGTTGTATTTTGGTATTTTCAAGTCGAACTGGATCAAGAAAAGTCACACGTTTTTGAAGATCAGGCTGGTTTGAACATTTGTAAGTAACAAGTATCCGTTTAAACGTCTCGATGGTTGGCAAACGTATTTGCAAAACGAATCTTTTGTGTCGTATATGTGCGGCAGATCAGAACTTTGGCGTTGTTATAGCAACCCTAGTACTCCATGTATTTGTTATATCGACAAGCACCGTGATTATCAACAATGTGTAAAGCATCTTCGATATTTATGACTCAACGGCATACTGGTTCAACAATAAATGTTTTAATACAATTTGGTACTAAGTAAGTACAACCTATGTCACAAAAATACTACTTGAAATGTTAAAAATAATCTCAGTTCTATTACAAAATAATAAAACAATACTGTTGTGTGAGTAACATTACATATACTTTATAAAACAATACGATATAACCACATTCACTAGAGAGTCTTTTTCATTAAAATATATATTATCGTGTAAATGCGTTTCAAAAGTAGCTTTCATTATTGTACACAGTAGCAACACATGCATTATGTATTTGTGGTATACACTGATTATATACACCTTAACCTTATTTATCGTAACATACTAAAAAACCCTTTGACGTGAATATATAGTTGAATTGAGGAGACATGCGTGTACATTTATTTGAAAGTACGTACCGGTAATTCTATGCGCATGCTCTTTGGCAAAGTCACAAGTTCACCAAATGAATAGTATTGTGTGCGTTTTCAACTCACAGTAAAATGGTCTTGGAATACTTTCCATTTCAGTCTTGGTGACGATATACTTTCGCTGAGCAAACATGTCTGTATGAGTTCTCCTATTTATGTCCAGGCTTTCACAATATGTATACATTGCCATAATTACAGTAACTGACTCAGAGTAACTGTGTTCATCTATATCATTTAGAATATACATCCCATGAATGAATATGTACATGTTGAGTAATAGACAGAGATTCATTGAATCTAACAACAGATGAATTTGCGGAATACGACTTGCGTTGGATCTCCAAAACGTCTTCCGTATTTAATGAAAAACACATTCTGAGGTAGCTTTTATGCTTTATTTTACTCACACTGAGGAAAAAATTTCTTAAAATTATTTTAAAATTGTATGACGAAACTCCATGAGCCTGTACGTTACTTCTGCTTTAGACGAGTAGCTTCCAAAATCTGAACGAAAATAAAAATAGGCGTTATAGCGCCACCAAGAGTTCCAAATATTCCAGCATTCCAGCAGCAAAAATATAAATTTTTCATTTACCGCAATACTGTTATATAATTTTAATTTCAAGTTTACAGCATTTTACGGCAAATTTTGCGTAACAGCCAATAACAATTTGATCGGCAATAGATACGTTATATATCCGCGTTGTCACCAACTTGTTAAGGACAACTGTACTCAATAGTTGTGCGCCACCACAGGGCAGGGAATGCACTGTCCACGGTACATGTATATACATGTGTCACATTTTACGTGCGGCGAATGGTCCTTTAATTGTAACTAAGAAATAAACAGGGCAATTACATAAATCTTATTATAAATGGCTTTGAAAAACACTGAGGTATTTGCCATTATACTGTAACAATCCTTTGTTTAAAAATAATGTACTCGACTGTCCTGACTTTTATTTTAGGTTAAAAGAACCACACTGGGTGGTATGGTACTGATGTTAAAACATGTGATAGCTATGTTAGCTGTTGTATTAACCGGGGCCGTAGCCGAGGTCGTTATCGCCCAGTCTGGAAAATTATTGACTCCAAACAACGCCACACCCATTAGATTGGTGTTAAGGAGTGCGATGAAAATGGCGATGATGGTCATCGGTGTACCCGCTTTTACCTAGATAAAAAAGCACATAATGTATAACGTAAATTTGCAACCAATATATACAAATTATGTTATTGGAAATATTCTGATATATTCCTCTCCACTGTGGATGCGATTGGATGTTAAATCACGCGGTAGACTGGTGAAGTGTCTATAGCACTAGTCGATACACAAATTGCGTGTCTCGACACTATCACCAACATTGTACAAGTGCATATATTCGCGGTTCGTATTACAACCGGGTATTACGCAGTGTATTTTAAATAACCATTTGGTCTTTGACGCAGGGACGACCCATGTGCATACATTCAGTGAGTTGGGAGTATGACTACTGAAAGCCACGTTAAAGGACGGTGGCCGTCCCGCAGCGAATTTCATGTTCGAATTTCATGTAAACAAACAATGTATTTTACACGCGTTGCGTACGTCGCAATGAGTCCCATATCAATTCGGACGCGACGCGACGACCACCACCCTTTAATGGGCTAATAAACAAAACAATAAACTTTAGTTCAATTAAACTGAAAATAAATTTCACGCGATCGTGCTTGTTAGGGGCAATACAATAATAATAAATAAATAAATTGACATTATTGATAAAGACAACAAACGCGCTTCCCGCTGTACGCGGCCGCGCGCCTCACAATGCTGCGATAGCGAACCTTAAAAGCGTCGGCTTAAAATAGCGTGTAATGAACAAGAGCCTACAGTGAGTAGAAGGGAATTCTCAATGACGTCATAAACAACATGCCGAAGACTACATTGCTGATAAGCAAATACACATACCATGTCTGCAACTGTCAATACACCATACGAGAATGCTATGGCGTTGGGAGGTGTTGCTATGGGTAATATGAATGCAAAGGAACACGTCAGTGTCGCTGGAAGCATCAAATAAAGTGGATTTAGATGTAAAGCTTCAGCCTGAGAAAGCAAAACAAAACCTACAATTAGTTCGATTATGCTAATTTCACCAAAACTAATTGTTATGCATAATTGTTGGAATGTACAAGGAACAAATCAGCTGTTCGAAACATGTGTATGTGTATTGGTCAATGTTATATGTGCCGTCGCTACCAATGCGATGGGAAACCTCAACCATATAATACTAACCAGTTTTCCGAGTACAGGTAAGAAGATTGTGGCTGTTGCTGTGTTGCTTGTGATTTCCGTGAAGATGGCAACTACGATGGTGCTTACAAGCGCTACAGCGAATGGTGGAACAGACTGCAATCCAGTCAGCTGCTCGCCAATTACATCAGTCAAACCAGACACCTGTTATAATATGCATTTAGTCAAAAGAAACTATCGGATGCTTGCTATCAGATTGCTGCAATCAGTAGAGGTATAAGCGAAACGTTGAAATGGCTCTGGTAATTAAGTCATAGCAACATCCAAGTTACGCTATATGTACATTCATGGGTATATATGTTTGCAAAAACTTGTTTTCATGATGAAAAGACAATAATTTAGGGAAACTTCACATGTTACTTTGAAAACAATATATATTAAAAACAGAAACTTTCTATATGTCGGAAGAGGCAATGGCAAGTTTGATAAGTGATAATTAAGTATTATTTTATATTTCCAACATCCTTTATACTATCTAATAACTTAAGATTAAATCAAACAAGCGCACCCATTTATGGATTTTCACAAAGAGAGGGTATAGTCACACTGAATTACTACGCCAACCTCAGATTTTACTGATTACCTTCCCTCATTATATATTCAACAGAATGTCGATAGTCATCAAGTAGGAATGCAATTACCCACACCAATACAGTTTAATATGCTTAAATTAGGTAACTTAGGTACCACATGACATTGTGTTTAGAAACTAGAGTCCAACATTTCATGGAATATAGTCAAAGTTTGCATTTTGACTGGTTTTGCTCGGACAAACATTCGACAAACATTACCGAAAATGACATTTAATTTAGTGATATTCCCGTGTGATAATAGTTTCCCATTATATACAGATAATGTTTTGATTATACGCGTAGTGACATGCCCAGGCGTGCAACATTTAAATTCTATTCAAACTGCTTACTTGATATGCATATGATATTCTTAGAATTGTGTGAAAACTTTGACACAACTAAACTCGTGATTTATTTATCACTATTTACACACAGGTAAAAAAAACACACAAGGGTTGACTTATTACATTAGTTACCTTGATTCCATCAGCCAATGCAAAGCTTCCACCTAATAGTATGACAACACTCCATGGTAAATGGTTATTAACTGACTTCCAATCCAACACAGCAGGCACCGGCCCGGCAGTACCCTCACCACCTGTTGTAAAATATACTAGTAAGTTAATAGTGTATCTCTGTTTGAAATTAAAGCGCGGTGGTCGTCGCGCAGCGCGTGTTCGAATTTCATGTAAATAAACAATGTATTTTACACGCGTTGTATACGTCGCTATGAGTCCCACATCGAACAGGACGCGGCACGACGACTGCCGCCCTTTAAGAAGGAAAACTGAGGCATTGCATATAATACAGACTGTGGTCGCAAAACGTCTAGTTGATATACATGTACAGTTCCAACACATTCTACGATCAATTGACGTAATGAACAGGAATGTTGCTGAGTTAGCTGCGACAATTATGCACAATGGGTTGCATTGAAATTCCCGTTTTAACAAAAATTACATTTGTAATAAGAACATCATGAATTATGTATTCGGAAATGTTAGAAAAAAACACAGGCAATGTCGGAACATTGAATATTGCATTTTTGTCGTGATCACAACCCATGCATGCAGTAATCATGTGTCGAACAATTGAAACGGAAATGCTTTTATTAGATATGTTGTCACGTCATGCATACCATTGGGTCAATTTATCTTTCCCTCACTGATTTGACTATGTAGCGTAATGTATACATCGGCTGTTTTGTTCGTATGGAATGTTTTTTTCCGATTGTTGTCAGTTATTTGTTTTGTGCTCTTGGACTTGCTATGTTCAACGATGTATGGTTGGGTATGTTATTTCTTATATTTTAGTATGTACAAGAGTTTTTATCAGATGGCTCTCTCCGTGAGACAAATGCAAAACGCTTAATGGTTTTGTGCAGAATGATCCTAACCAATGGCGTCCCGTTCTCAACCATAAAAATATACATGACAAGTTATCATATATTTACCGTTATTTCGACTACAACAATTCAGATTGGGTTTTCTACTTGGAAACACAAACAGTGACACGGCTATCATTACAGCTGCCGTGGCGTCCGTCACGTAACTAGAAATTTAAGAAAATTATAAAACAACACCGTTCTGAGAACAATATATATATATATATATATATATATATATATATATATATATATATATATATATATATAATAAATGCCTGATCGTCAAAGCCTGACCAACATGTAATATTCAAATCACAAACAACGACTGACATACAACAATTAACAAGGACATAACGAGTGACAAAACAATTTACAAACTGATTGAATAATTGCTAGTAGTGCTAGTAGATTACATCTCAACTGTCTGAATAAACCAGAAAGAATTTGCATGTCCTAAATTGTAGAATATTTAGTCATTGGAGATTATAATATTCATATTGTATCTATTTTATGTAAGATTTCGGCAAATACAATAAATTAAAATGGTTAATGTTAAAATCAGATTCAACATTTACAACTTACCCTTCCGTGAAGAGGTCTGACCATCCAGGTATGAAGCCAGGATCTCTCGTCAACCACAGCAGTGCCAAGAACGTGAAATGACACAGCACTGCAATCTCCGCCCATCTACATAGATAACATGAATAATTTCACAAACAAGGCACCACGAGTAAAATCAACGAAATAATAACAAAAATTAACTTTGTGCTTGTGGCAACTAAATAATACTATCAAATGTGCTTATGTGACAACCTTGGAAACTTCATTACGTTAAATGGCATAGTATTAAGTTAAAGCGGGGGATGGTCACCTGTGCGCGCGCGGGAATTGAGTCCCAAGCGACGGAATGCGTAGACGCTCATTTGTAAACAATGACACGCTATGATCATCAGACGCATGCGTAGGTGGCGACTCCCCCGCTTTAAAAATAAAGTACCAATTTTTTTTAAATGACACCCGTTGCTAATATTGCCTTGTTGTATATAGATTCTCATAAATATTCATAATAAATTAGCATATGCGGATATATCATGAAGTAGTGCGGCTTTAAATGATATATTTGTTTACTTACGATGTAGGCCCAAGAGCTTGATACTGGTCATAAAATATGCTTTTAACTGCATCGTCCACATGCTTTTCTTCTCGGCGTAAATATACAGATGGATTTTTTGCAAACAGTTTAAGTTCATTCCTGCAAATTGTACAAATATAATATAAGTATATATGAGTTCAACGTCAAACACATCAGTATTAAATATTCTTACCAACTTGTTTGTTTTACAATATGATCCCTGACCGTGGGTGTATATACCTGTCAACTACCACGACGCATGCGTCTCATGTATTTTAAATTATTTTGAGATCTGATTAACATTAAAACACTGACAAACAAACCCACGTGTAAGACGAACATGAATATAATAAATCATTATAATCCAACGGTTACTGTACCGTATACGTACCGGAGATCTAGGAACATAAAGTCGAGCAGCACCCAGCATATGAAAAGCGTCAGCACCATACCGGGAAACGCATAGCCGCACCACGTGCCAAAGTTAATGCCAGCCTCCCGACCATAGATACTATAGTGGGTGATAACATGCACACATGTAATGCGAAGAGATATGTGGGGTAAGGTATCTTAGATCTTAGAGAACGGTCAATGAATTTACCAACACAAATACAGCACAAATCAACAATTATTTCTATTTTGACAGATACACCGGCTGTCTATCATAAAAACCCGGGTACGGAACCGTAAGATTGCTATTTAATTATTTTAAAAAACAAATAGATACTCATACAAGGCACGTACATTCAGTTCTCAACAGAATGTGTGACAGATTATTTGATGGTTATAGAGAATACCTGTGTTAGCGTAAGCTGGTGGCATTGTTTTACATACTAATATATGCCTTCGGCAGATTTTATTTAAACGGCACTAAATGATCCCATGCGAACCTAACAACTGCCCGCATTAATAACTGTAAGCTTGAAATATATAATTCAAAAAGTAAAATCCCGCGGTCGACGTCGATAGATACAAACCGACCCCAGAGGTGTCATCTTATGCTATTAATAATATTAACGGAAGTGTATATGATTGGCTTAAAGTTTGAATATGATGAGTCGTTATCATGTGATTGGCTAATGCAACTTTAGAGGGTGGAGTTTATGTAAGAATAATATACAGTTATCGGATTAATTATTCACAAGTAGCAGTGATATCAATATTATAAATTAAATTAAAATAAAATATAAGACACAAATTCGAAATTATGATGAATAATACATTTTCGCCCGCCAGAGTATTTTTTCCGCCCCACTCAAAAAAACCATCAGTTGCCTAAAGAGGGCGTGGTTTGCGACGATGGAATAATATTGCTCCACAAAATAGCAAATTTAAGTCATGTTAATGTGGGAGCAATCATTGCGTTCAAGTTTACCTGCTAAACATATTTAACAAAGATTTAAATTCATTCATTTAAAAAATAACAATTACTGTAAAATATCATGGCATTAATTGTGGTTTGTTTTCAATTATATGAACAAAGTTTAATTAACAAAATCACGAATTTTGAGTGAAATGTATTGAATTTTACTTAACTAATGTTCACTACTTGGCTATAACATAATATTAATGTCAATAATATAATCTCAAGTGTTTAACATGCACACATCGCATTCTAATTATAATGTAAATGAAAAAGCAAAGACCGACGTTAGGTTAGTGACTAAAACAATCATTTCACTTGCACGTAACTAAGTGATAGGACTTAAAAAACAGCCCAGAAAAAAATAATCCGAGTTGTAAGATTAAAAGATATGAAGAAAAAGAAGCTCAAAGCTTAAAAAAAAGCTTGGCGCCAGTCTGGTGAAGGATTTTATTCAGCAATGTGAAATAAAGACACTGTTATTTTATTGGAACTGTTAAGTTTGTGTAGCGGTTTAATTAGATACATCCTGTTTATGCAATTCAAGTTCCGATTCCGGTTTCATGACATATAAACAACCAGTTACATGACATGACATATAAACAACCAGTTACATGTTACTGTCTGTTATAGGTGATATATACATCCCATACACATTTATAGTTTGTTGAATACATAATATGCTTATTACCTGTCCACCTGACCAGCCAAGACTAGATTGGGGTTAGTACCAGTCAATGTACCCGTACCACCGATATTAGCAGCGTATGCGACGCACAAAAATATTCCCTTCTGTAAATTTAGATCTATCTTTTTTTGTCTTTGTCTGAAATTATCATCTATGTCTTCGCACTCTTCCTCGATAGGCAGAATTTCAGATTCCTTTGATACCGGATCGTTCTTCACGACATAAGTAACCTCCCCATCTGGGCTGAAAAAAGTAAATTAAGTCAATTAGCAATATTTCTTTAGAAATTCATATCGTATTACTATCAATAGGGTTTGTCAAGGTTACGAGAGGTCTCACTATAAATAGAAAGGAAAGTGGCAGAGTGCGCGAAAAAGATCAAATGAGGGCAACGTATTGAATATAAAGACATTTTCAACCAAATGTGCGTTACTTTGCAATATAAGTTTTGGTGATTTGATTTGAGTACTAAGGCAATTTAATTCCTAAACAAATCCTTGTATAAATACGTCTGTTGCAATTTTAGTTTTTGTTTACTTATTTGTTTGTTCAAATCAAACTTCTTCGTGAATAATAAATCACATGACGCAGAACTTTGTGACATCCGTGATAAAAACGGTATCAGCTGGAGTGGTAATCTCAAAAATGAAACGAATTTACGGGTGACCATTAAAAACTATGAGGTATTTTGGAGACTAGGAGGTATAAAAGCCAGAAAAAATGTACATCAATAACATCTTGGAAATCTAGTTCAAAACTTGGATGGAACATCTCACTATCTGGAGTTTTTATGACATGATCAGTGTGGTCGAGCACCAAGTGCTCATTTGGCGGAAGTGCTCACAAATGGAAAATTTGTTTTGCATTACTATCTTATAGGCACACCAACATAGATATCGGTACCATCTATTGCATTTCACAGACGGTCGTCTACTTACGTTTTAACTCGAATCTGCCCCATCTCTACTTCCCCACTGTCTGCTGGAGCCATGTCGCCATTTTGACTTTGCAGCATGGGATTTCTCTCCTCCGCATCCTGTGAGGGCGTTGTTATTCCTTTGATTGATGTTTTTGAAATTGTTTGCGTTACAGAAGACTTCTTCCGTTTGCTTGAACCCATACGAATAGACCTCCGCCTAGTCACCTCAATCTAATGAAATCAAAATTAGACTGTGAACATTTTTTCTGTTTTTTCTTTGTGCATCAAAACCAAACTCGTTATATTTTAGACTGTAGACAGGGTGAGATTTGCAGTGGGCATGGTCACATTGTTCATATTGCAATAATGTAAAAATATAATTATAAATTGTATTCCTGGATCCACATTTGGTGAAATAGAGTTAAGCATACGAGGCGTCTCTTGCATTTCTCTGTGAAATATAAGTTTATTTCTGAAAAATTAAGAAAATACAACTTGCCTTCTCTCCGTGGTGGCATAACTGTGAGACGACTGCCTGAGCAACGGGGACCATCATGGCGGTTGTCGCAGTGTTACTGATCCACATTGATAAAAACGCTGTGGTCAGCATAAAACCAAACATAATCCTGTAATAAAAATTATATTATATATAACATCAGAGGTACATTACTTGAGGTTTGCAACTACGGTGACATGATACCAAGATCCCGTCACAATCTCGCTCTCGCATAAGCATTCCAACTCAGAAAAATGCGAATGCGCATGCCCGAGGTAACTAGGATACTGGGATGTCCAGGTGGATCAAAATAGCTGCCCACGATATGACGGATTACGAGAACTATATTTTCTGTACATTTTCGATGTATTACATTTTTCACTATGATAGTGACAAGAAAAGTTTTATTTTTTCATTACAAACCTTGAACATTGATATGTGTCATGTCAGAAGGTCGTAGCCTCAGTCTCGCTATCTACGAGAAGAGACTTGAATGGGATCTTGACATGATGTCACCATACAGTACTATGCGAGTTGCAAACCCCAAGTAATGTACCTCTGATAACATTAAAAACAAAAAATATGAAGTGGTTTCTGCTCATGTATCTCTCAAAATGTGCAAATACGTACTCCTCAGTAAGGTTAACCATTGGGAAAAAAAGAAATCGTAGAACAACTGTGCAAATTATTTTGAATTTGTGTTATTAAGTAGATGATATTGATGTACATTGTTTTCCTGTTTCAAATGTGTTATATAAATATTTGTCTTTTTTTAATGTACATTTTTCCCAGTGTACAAACGACTGACTGTTAATTCTCAATCAAATGTTACATAAGTCGTGTCGATGACGTCACCGGAGAATTATTTACAGGTCCATACAACAATATAACATTTTTAAAACATTAATTGAGGTGTATTTATATTGGTGACGACATTGTACGCGCAGATCCCATATATGGTTTCTATTTCAGAGAATACTCACTTGATCCAACCTGGTCACCCCTGTAAATAATGGTTCATACAATTTTGAAGATGTGGCGAGAATATTTTTCCGAATTACAATTGTACAATATCATGTTATGTCACCTACCAACGCGGCTTGGAACCGACCATCATCAGAACTCTGAGGGCAATACGTTTGTGCAAGTTCCATTTTTCCACTGCCACTGCGACTATCAAGCCTCCGACGAATAACACGTTCGTGTCCTTGAAGTAGTTGCTGCAAACGCGCTTCGAATCGACGATTCCAAGAATAGGGAAAAGAATTATGGGTAATAGTGCTGTAACTGCCAGTGGTACAACCTCAAAGACCCAATACACGGCCAGCAGGAGAGCGACGTATGCACCGAGTCCTACCTAAAGATATAAACAGAATGAGGCACGTGGCTTTAACAAACGAATCATATGTTTCGTCAAGCTTTCACATTGATTAATTTGGGCACGTTTTTCGTAGTTAGCTTAACATTTAGTTAAAATAGAGCAGGTAGACAACGTCATAATTAATTTGCATACTACATTTGAATAAGCATAGATAATAGTTAGATAAAAAGAGGCCGCGATAATAAGAAGGGTTGGAAAACGGAAGATTACAAACAATTTTTTGGAATCGTCCGCTTAATAGGCATTGCCTCAAGAAACGTACAATTTAGACATGCCATTTTCAACTACAATCTTCTTAAAGTTCGTGTGAGCGCTCAGCTATCTTGTGTGTGAATGTAATTGTACACAAAGCCAAGTAACTCAGTAATCCCTTGAATTACCCGTCCCCTAACCCAATACCGTCGGCATATGATATCTAAACTGAGGATTTCCAAAAGCACATATACTGCATAATTTATTTATATATATTTATTTATAGTAAAAATGTAACGCATGTATAAATCAACCAGTTATCACCATTTTAACTAATTGCCATACAGTTTGTTATAGACGCTCTCTACTGTGACTAAAAATAAACTTTATTGTAAATATTCCGGCGATAAAGTTATACGTCAAAGGTAGAGTCGTTGTGTGAATGCACACACTTATCTTCGTCGAACCCATGCTGATATGCTGATTCATACATTCAATGCGTTAGATAGAGCGAGGAATACGGTATTACTTAAACTAAAATCGTTTTACTCTCTCAATAGCCGTACAGTTGTTTAACCGCGATTTCCTAATTGATTTGATGCAGATCAAAAGTCAGGAGAAGCTAATTGATTTGATAAAGATAAAGAGTTAAGGGGGCCTAATTGATTTGATAAAGATCAAAAGTTAAGGGAGCTTGCATTCAATTTGAGAAAGTACTGAAACATTACGTCATTGTGTCAATTAGAGAAATGAAAGAATAAAATACTACACTGAACATGCTACTTACTAATTCATACCAACCACTTTAAACATATAAATATATTTTTTTAAATTAACGTTCAACTAATAAAATTCCAATCAATATTTGTGTGATATACACTAAAGTACTCTTCATGAATATGTTATAGCCAGAATAATACAGCCGTTAGTACAGACATCTCAGCCAATCAATGGACGGCAACGATGTAACGCCGGTGGATTACTATTTCTGCTGAGGACTAGGTTTCCAATCAGTGAATAATGAATCCCACAGGGATTGGTTCGCAGATATGTGTCTCCAATCGACATCATATTTGTTTGTTCTCAAAAATAGTATTTTCTGATTTTAATTGTAATGGTCTGTCACAAATATATCTCATACAATATTGGGAGTATGTTCTGAGCTTTGTTATACAATTAGTTTAAGTACTCCATGTCACAGCAAGGTCGCATATTATATCCGTTCATCGATTATAAGGTTGTATTTTTCTGGAGAGCTCGAGGCGGGTGATTAAGATATCTTCCGAACATATTTCGAAAAGATGACTATTGTGTCTGATCGAGTAGTAAACTCTATTCTATTCTATTCCATTCTATTGAAGTTTCGATCTTACCTAGATTGAGTTTTAACAACATTACGAAGGCTGAATGCCACTTTAAAGTAACATCCACGGATATACAACATGACCTACAGTATAACCTATGACATAACCTGTGACCTATGACCCAAGTATAGTTATCTACATTTCTGATTTGTATTACTCAGTTAAAAAATACATCCCCAATTTACAGGTTAAAAAATCACAAAGGTTAAAAAAAATCGAATAACAATAAAATAACAATAGTTACATAATATAAAACATTCCTTTGTGTTGCAATTCGGATTCCCAGTATATTAATAAAACGAAGAGGCGTTCAATCGCGTGAGTCTCCAGTGTCTCCCTAACCTGTCTCTCACCCCGTCTGACCCTTATCACGTGACGACATAGATATTAATTGAATCGTGTCTGTGATGTCATGTGTCAGTGAATGTACATACATTTCTGTGCGTGGTTCATTATAACGTGACGCCATTATAGATGCACGAGTGCGTAGCTATTTTTGTAAAACTCAACGATACGCATACAATATGTAGCAATCAGAATGTTCTCAGGTAAAACTGTGACACGCTTGAGTAAAACATATAATTATTATTTTTGTGGGTATATTTTTGTTGATTGTTTTTACTAAATATTTATTTGTGTTGTTATATTACACGTGGTGTGTAATTCTTTAAATCGCGTTGTATATATATATATATATATATATGACAATCCAACCACGTAGGAATGATCGTGTGTCACGTCCTGTCTATCTAAGGGAATCTATTTGCATTATTTCTCCCTTAGGTTGTGGTGACGTTTGTAATCAGAGTATATATTCATTAATCATTGCGAAGCTCGGATTTAATCTAAAACCTCTGTGCCTTAAAATCGTAATACATCAAGTAGCTATTTTAAATGTGATAGGTGATGTAAATAATTAATATTAAGAGATTACGTGTTATTGCGATAATCGTAGTCGTTTATTCACGACGGGTTTTCAGAAACACCATTGATCCTATCATGTGGTGTATTTGCCAGAGTACGCCATCAGTCCGCCATTTTTGTTTATCCTCATTCGTAGCTGGTCGTTGTTAAGCTTATTAAAACTGTCCTCGAGGTACTAGTACATATCTAAAACACCGGTACTTGACAGGTAAACGGTATGTTAAAATACCTCTATTTAGAGTGTGAGTGCGACAGGACTTATCTGTGTAATCTAACGGAATCCTGAAATCGACTCGGAATTTAGATGATTCTCCTAAAATAAATTAAAGTGGCCATGAGTGAGTAAAAGTGATGAACAATTAAAAGTTTGTTTGGATTCGGCGATTTTTTTATATGGGGAACGGAACGTAAGAACATTTTTAGTAAAACAAACCTCAAAAAAATAAAATTGCGAAACTTTTATACAAAGGTAGTCCTGTCCTCGTACCTTTTTTGTATTTTATGTATTATTATGATTGTAGTGATTTGTCTAAGTTCGGAAAACAACTTTGTATGTATACATATTAAGAAAACACATACTTTTACCCTTAAGATTACATTGTGGCATCTGAGAAGTAAATAATGCTGCCACACGAATGCTGTGCAAAGTACAGTCTGATAAAGAGAATGTCTGATTAAATCAAGATACACTTTCATTCAGAGAACCGCAAACATGTAATGTCTTTAAATAAATTACATCTAGTGACGTGACGCGAATAATACAACGCCCGTGCTACTTATATCATCTTCCCAGGTATCACCTGCTTTAAGGGATTTGCATGATGGTATTTTCCATTCACCTACTGCACCTCATCACCGATGAAAATGTGTGTGCTGGGGTGTATACTGTAAAACACGTTGAAGTAGCTACGTGCCACTGGCATTTTAGCAAATTTGACTCCATGCATGAATTAACAGACTAATTTAGCTTGAGTGCCAACAATCTAATTTTAAGAATATACTTTATTTTAAATTAGCGACATCTTGAATTAGCGAAATAACAGATTATCCAAGTGAGCTAAAGCAACGTGCTAGATAAAACGACTTGTTTTACAGTATATAGCTATAACTTATTTATATCATCTATTCGCATTGAAGGTGAGATGGAAATGAGGACATTCAACTCTTGTGAAATCCGTAATTGCTGTCACAATCCCAAAGTGGGTACTCGCCTGGGTACTCCGTCGAACACCGAAACGAAGAAAATATAATTCATAGCAGATAATAAAAATAAAAAGCTACTAGATAAACCGATTATTTGTCGACATGCTCAATATTTGGATGGATGACTTACCGATGTTGGTACATATAACGGCACTACAGCGAGAAGCACGGGGGCGGCTAGAAAAATCACCGTCTTGTAAAACGATAAAATAATTGCCAGCGTGCTACGCTGCTCTGTCTGTGGCTGGGCTGTGCATTCCATATTTTTTTCAGCGTAAACTCATCAACTTGTTTGCGAAATTAATCCAACAAGCGCTGGGTGTTAGAATTAATACAGCGGGGGAAAAAAGAGAAATCACCCAGTCAGATAACCTTAATACTGCAGTGTATATCAGCTAGCACTTCCCAGTCATTTATTGGACGTTCCACTATTCATGCGTAGGTGAGACAGAGCAAGAATGGAGGGGTGCCCACAAACAGTACTTAAATGTGAAAGAGATTTTCAGTCTCGCCATATTATAGCGAACACAGTAAACTGTATTTCATGTATTTCAGTTTATTAATAAATTAATATTGATCTTTTTTAAACATTTCGTCTAAGGTTGTGTTACGTTTGTAAGTTCAACTCATTGTGTGTACGTGCATAGACTATAGTAACGACAGTAATAAGACATCGTTACTGTGATTATAAGTCACGATGTCTCGTGATTGCCAAATTATAGTATACTCTGTCTTGTCTAATCCGTTATCTATTTCATTTAAGTTTTTCTTGTATCTCTTCATTTTGTGAAATTGCGCATAATTTTGTGAAATGTCACAGGCCAGACAAGCAACATATCGCAGATATTCATAATAATAGGTAACGCAAAAGTGTCTAAGTACTTTACAGAGCCATGCCATGAGCGAGCAAAACGAAAACAGGTAATGTTGACTTTTCAGTTGTGACTTGGAAAAGGTAGTGCTGCAGTAGACCGGATTTCTTGTGGGAGCTCATTCCATTTAGGGAACTACATTTGGGTAGCCCTCTCGTCGCACTATTTGATATATGATACAGGGCATACAATAATTTATTCGGAGACCCCAAACAAGATCCAGAACTTAGATGAACTAGTGATTTAAAAAAAAACTTTACTAATCCATGAGCCAGAATCAGAAAAGATACCAGATTGGTATCCCCTAGCTGGCAAATGCTACAAATGATGTTTTCATAGCATGTGTGTGTATGTGTCATGAATTAGTTTTTGCGTATCGGTTGACCGACTTAATTAGCTGATTATTAGCTGAATTGCTGTGTTATGTCTGTCATCGTTTAGGCCTATTTGAAGTTTTGGACGGAACTTGGCTCAGTGATCTGGAACTAATTACGAGATAACCGTCGCTATTCTATCGATTCTGACAGTTGGTATTCATAGTTATTAATGTAGTGAACGATTAATCAAAAGATATGACGTATTCAGTACTTAGTGTGATTGGCTTTATGATTGAAGGTTACGCCCTAGAGTCGTTTTACTGTTTTGTAATTGGTTAGAGTTTTGAGTTGGTCTTGGGGAGTACAGCAGAACAGACGGAGTCCTGGAGAGCCTTGGGGCAAGCCTTGACGCAGTCTAAGAGAGTCTTGGTTCAGCCTTGCGATAGTCTTGGGGATTTTTCCCCAGGGCGCTGTGTCTGATATAGTGCTCGATTGACCGACTAAGACGAGAGCTGAAACGTATTTCGTTGTGTGTGTCTTATTTGACTATAAAGCTTAAGTGACTTTCCCGATCCCGCACCTCAAGGGGACGAGATATAGAGACGAGACGAGTTTCCCCCCTGACACGTGTGAAGAACCCAGAGGAAGAAGAATTTCCCCCTGATATGTATGACATGCGACGTTGTATCAAGCGCTATATTATATTGTCGTCACTTTAAATTCATTTTCAAATCTTGTTTTATTTAAATGCTTTAAGGGAAAATGTAATAATAATGATAATAATAATTCGTAAAACAACATATGAAAAAAAAAACATTCTAATTAAGTTGATGCGTGAGTTGGGTAATATGTTGAATACATTTACTACATGTGACGATTCTGGCGGCAGAATCCTGGATATCATGTAGGGGTTGAAGCTGAGATGAAGGTAACCCGTAGAACAATGTGGTGTTATAGCAAGATGTAAACAAACGAGTTGATTTGCATTTGCATTTCATCAATTAATAAAGAAATCTGAAAATCGTAATTTTCAACACAAAAAATAATCTCGCTACCTTAATTGATTTTTAGTCCAGATTTTCGATAATTGTTCCTATTTTGTAAATGCCAATGTTAGCTGATTTGCAAATGTTTTGAATTTGCTGTTTTAATTGCATACTGTTTTCAATAATGACTTCAAGGTGTATGGCAACTGAAGATGTAGAGATGATTGCAAAATCTGAATGTCTGCGGACCGTCGTGGAGTTCACATCAACTAATTCAGTTTTGGCGTCGTTAAGCATTGCATGAATTGTTTGTGATAGCACATGTACAATTTGCTATGTGTCTTTCACAAGAGCCAGAGAGCATATTTCAAATGAAGACAGCTTGATTGCGATTCTGTACCAACTGCAGAGCGGTTCCACTGATTCCATATCTGTTTTGCAGTCGATGGAAAACGATGCCACGGTCAATGTCGAATGTTACAATTACGTCTTACGTTACTACAACAGCTTCTTCATTTTTGTCAAGAGCTAGGAGTAGGTCATTATAACACGGAGTAGAGCAGTTTCAGTAGAATGAAACGGTGATAAGCAGATTGCCTTGGCGTGAACAGATTGCTGGTCTGTGGGTAGTCTTTAATTTGCATGACGTCAATTCTTTCCATTGGATTAGCAATAGTGCCGATAGTCCTTGAACGCACTGTTACTCAAGAGACGTGATATACGATGTTTTGAAAAAGTTAGGCTGAGATTGGATGATGATGATGATGATACTAATTAATGATGGAAGGAAAATATCCAAGCAGATATTAAGTAGCCACGCTGGAAGTGGATCATGGCAGCAAGTCTTGGATGGACTTTTGTTAATCGCATTGCGAACATCATCCCCGCAGACAGATACACAATTGCCCAAGCAACACGACGTTGATAGTTATTTTTTGGTCTTAGGCACTGAGATAGCCTCTAAGTATATCACAAATAGATTTGTCATGGCAGAATTGTCCAGGGGCGGATCCAGCAAAATGTTTTTTTTTTTTGGAGGGGGGCAAGATTCGTAAATTGCAGAGAAGCTATGCGTAATCCAGATGATATGAATGATCGTTGGTGGTGGTGGTGGTGGGGGGGGGGGTGTCCCCCCTAGATCCACCACTGCCAATTGCCCATAATGATTATTGGCAGGTAAATGTGATGTGAAATTGATATGAGGTGATGAATTGGCGTTGCATAACTTTCCAATAATACGGAATAGTTCTTCACAAGTACGGATTTAGAGGTATTGACGCCTGCATGGTTAATCATATCATATATTCATCAACGTTTTTTTGTACCCCCACAATTTTTTTGATGTGGGAATTACATTATGAACACCTAGAGTATAATTGGCCATGTTATTATGGTTGTATCAGGTGACTATATTATGATCACAGTGTATCAGTCAATTATGGTTGTATCAGGGGACTATGTTATGGTCACACAGTGTATAATTAGACGTTGATCATGGTTGTATCAGGGGACTACATTATGATCACACAGTGTATCATTAGACGTTGATCATGGTTGTATCAGGGGACTACATTATGATCACACAGTGCATCATTGGTCATGAGATCATTATTGTATCAGAGGACTACATTATGATCACACAGTGTATCATTGGTCATGAGATCATTATTGTATCAGGGGACTACATTATGATCACACAGTGTATCATTGGTCATAAGATCATTATTGTATCAGGGTACGACATTATGATCACAGTGTATCATTGGTCATAAGATCATTATTGTATCAGGGTACGACATTATGATCACACAGTGTATCATTGGTCATAAGATCATTATTGTATCAGGGTACGACATTATGATCACACAGTGTATCATTGGTCATAAGATCATTATTGTATCAGGGTACGACATTATGATCACAGTGTATCATTGGTCATAAGATCATTATTGTATCAGGGTACGACATTATGATCACACAGTGTATCATTGGTCATAAGATCATTATTGTATCAGGGTACGACATTATGATCACACAGTGTATCATTGGTCATAAGATCATTATTGTATCAGGGTACGACATTATGATCACACAGTGTATCATTGGTCATAAGATCATTATTGTATCAGGGTACGACATTATGATCACACAGTGTATCATTGGTCATAAGATCATTATTGTATCAGGGTACGACATTATGATCACAGTGTGATTAAAGTTGTATGGCAGAAGTTTTAAAAAGAGAAATACTAACATTGTTGCTCTCTTGTAAACATTGCGAGTGATTATCTGGGAAACAATCATGATACCGGGTATTATTCCTTTACACTCACTGTAACAGTCACTACACGCTGAGTGGTCGTTTTGCTCCACTCAGGTGTTACCTGTCGCAAGACAACATCATATTTCAGATAAACACAGTGATGAATAATCATACCAATAAAATTTTATTTACATCTGCAGTTATACTATTTTACAAACTGGTTGATACTGAAAGGTAAAGTATATTGACATACACAAAATACAACATAGCAGAATTATCACAGGTCAAGTAAGCTATAATTTCTAGAGGTTACAGAGAACAATTCATGTTATCACCCACACCAACTTGATTTCAAATGTTTTGTGGCCAGTAACAGACGTCACCCTCAAACTGCCACAAACAATAAAATACCCCGAAATTGACCAACTTAACTCGGTAATACAACCCAGGACAGAATAGAGTGTCTGTTACATATAAATTGTGATAACGATGGCCCATGTAATAACAACAAGTTAACAACACTGTCTTTGTGTTCTGTTATTTATCAGCGTGTCTGATCTTGCGGCAACATTGTCCATTTTTTGAGACAAGTAGTAATGAATAACTCATAACCCACAACAAAGAATACAGTACCCTTGATATGCATGAATAAAAATCACTGCCATATTTTGCAATGTACAAGAAACACAATTCTGTCCCAGGTTGTAATGGGTTCGGCATAGTTTGTTGATCTTCGTCAAATTTCTGAGAAAACACATGCATGATATAGAGAAAGAAATTCACTTGAATATCCCATTAACACATGCCTGACGATCTGGGAAGACACATTTCATATATATACATGGTAAACCATTGCTAGTAGATGTTTTCATGATTTTATGGTATTTGTGAAGACAAAATTTTGCTAAAGTCGCTGACACATGTTGTAGGACCCTGGGAAAATTTGTCACTCCTACAAGAATTTCACAATTGTCACTGACAGGCATTATTTGCTAAATTGTTTTGTCTCACAGGTTCTTTTCATTGCCTTTCTGTATGTTTGGCTCAAAGAACCTTAAGGGATAGACTGCTTAGAGGACAAATCAATCACCATATCAATCACCAAATCAATCACCAAATCAATCACCAATTTTTGGTAATGGTAAATTAAACCAAAGATTAAAAAATAAAATAAAACAACATTTACATTGCAGAACTTGACTGAACAAAAAAACACAACATGCAATTACAGTAATTGATTCAGAGTAAATTGTTACAGGGGAGTAGTAAACTTGATGGCACCAATTGAATATTAACATAAAACACAGATGTCTTCCTTTAACACATGGCCTGCTGGAAACCTTCATGGAAAGGCAATGTGTCAATAGCTGAAACAGTAAATGGCAAAACCTAAACACAATAATCTTCATTAAATCAGAAAATGGCAGATAAATAATTCAAAAAAGAGAAAAAAAACATTTAAACTTATATGCAGCATTCATGACATGCAAAGGAGCTAAATGGTATGCGCAAAAAGAAACAAAAAAAAACATTGTAGCTTGTTGGCAGTACACTATAATCATGAAACGAGTCAAGAACCTCTCATTATTAAAACAAAATAATTGTACATAGACAAGTTTAAACACAATGGCAGACTTTCAGGTTCGATGTATGTTTAAGACGAATCAAACTTGGCGCATAAATTACAGGCATGACAGCAAACCACCAAACCCTGTGCATTCATTGCAGTTACAGTTTAAATGTTAAAATTATAAATTTAAAACAAGTGAATAATAGCACACAGTAATCCAAGCATACCATGTAATGGTAATTCATTTATATCTTGACCTAACGCATTAATGTGTTAACCCATATCTAAGATTAACTATTACTACTAAATTCTTGTAAGGTAAGTGTAATTCAATTGGTTTACTCTTTTATAAAAGTGACTCACACTTGCATAGTAATACTAAAAATACTTCGCAGAAGACGATCAAGGTGCTCCCATATAAATAAATAAATTTATTATAATATATTTGTCTTTTGGAAAGAGGCAGATATATTATAATATTAGACAAGTGTCCTGCCCCCCTCCCCCATAATTGCCATGCAGTGGAAAACTAAAAAAAAAATAACTGATCTTTGTAAAAAGGTTACGTGGTAACCAACAAACGATTTGCATTCTGCCATTGGCCATCAAATACGGTGACCAAGATAAATTCAGTAGATGTACATGTATGTACTTGTGTAATATAAGATTCTTCAGTCAGCGAGCTCTTAGGAGCAAAACCCGTAAAGTATATGTTGGTTCCGTCACAGTACGACAGCTATTATAAGCGTTTTGAGCTAAACTCACATGCAATATCCTGAACAGACAAAATAAACAGACATGATATGATTCACGTCTGTAGCAATCAGTCATGAAAAGACTTCATTTAAATCACCTATGAAGGCGTAAATTCAATTACTATACATAATTCATGACATTTAAACAACTTTGGACAAGTTTTCATGAAGCTTTTTTTTTTGTAGAATTTCCAAAATAAAACGCTTTCTTTAAATATGCTAAATATGTACACTGTAAATACTCGTATATAAAATGAAGAACAAATACTATCACCTTCTTTTGGAATACTCAAATTAGACTATAAAACAGTCTTGATTATTTGTCTTTGGAACGGCATGTATGTTTCCAGGAATTCATATAACAGCTCACTCAAAAGACAACAGCACAAGGGAGTGGTACAGTACCTATAAAACTTTGAACAGTAACTCATTTGCATATTGTCTGTCTGCATGGTTTCCCTAGTACTACTGCCAGCAATTGATACGACAGCTGGAAAACGCCACTACAATACAAACATGTTTATTTCAATATGGAAGATTCCGATTGAGCAAATAAATGTAAGGACACATGAAACGCTGGCAGTAGCTTCTATTGCATCTGTGCAGTGAGTGACAACAACAACTTACAAATGATTATGGCTGATCAAGACTACCCAGGTTAATTCATGTTTTGGATGCCACAATAGATGATCCATTCACTGTGCGATCTCGCGTATTGCGTAAAAGGCACAGAGCAAACATCTGATGCAAAAATTCTGACTTTTGCTTGTATGTTGGATTTCAAACATAATGCAAGATCTCGCAGTGAATAGTGTATTGGCATAATATCACTGACCTCCATCAATACTAAGAGAACTGTCCAATCAGATTCAATACATACAGTATTTACTGTACATTTACTGTACCACTCGGTATTCCGCTTTGCCCAAAAACTTCTCAATATATGATATATTATTTAAAATTTCTTTGGAAATTAATCATCAATAAAATTAAATTAAATTAAATCCATTTTTTCTTCACAAGTTCCACATGCAATACATAAATATCTCTCCAAATCCATGAGCAGAGCACCCCGTTTTAGGTTGCATGCAAATATAAACCATGACTCCCGTTGCCATTCACACCAATATCATATATCTGTGTTTTCTATGGAAAGTTACGGGACTGTCACGAAACTTGACACTGGTAGCCCGCCTCTTCAGTCTGAACGGTTGCTTCCATTGTAAGAAAGTCTTCATCATTTTTATAGTCAAAGTTACATTCAGTTTCATCGTCTGTATGGTTTCCATGGGAACTATGAAAACTGAGCTCGGATCCAGTGAAAGAGTTCTCTGGTGTTGGCATGGTTGGTGTGGTTGGTGGTGTTTTACTCAGTGACTTGGTAACTACAGGTGAGTTGTTGGCGATAGCTGCTAACACTTGCTGTTGGGATTTCAGACTGTACAGAAATGGCCTGTAACTAGGGCTGAGAAATAGAAAAATGTGTTAGAATTACAGCATTTGTTGAAATTCAAAAGATAGGACTGTGATACAAATACAAAAAGCAAATCAACAAATGTTTGTGGCCTTCTAGAGCCACATTATAAACATAGCACAACTATTATAACCGTGTCCATTGTGAATCTAGATTAAAAAAACAAATGCATGGATGGATACAAACTAATGATGCACCATCTTTTCCTTATATGTCAAAAGTGAGTATAAATGTCCTGAAACAATGCAATAAACATCAGAACATTTTGAGCAGAAAAATAAATGCTAAAATTTAGTTGGGAACAATTGTGATCAAAAATAGACGAGAACAATGAAGTCATCATAATGAAAAAATAATTAATATTCATGTTCCTCATACAAAAAAACATGTACTTATTAATCTCAATTATATAAATATAATTATAGAAAAATTACAACAGGAATTGTGTAAAAGTTCCCAGATAATAGTACAGTTATATATACAAGCAAAATAAAATACCATCCAGATTTGAAGTTTTTGATTTATAATGAAAACAATTTATACCCCATCACACTTGCTAGTTACACCAAATTTGAAATTGGTTGAGATTTCATAGTGATTGATAAGATTATCAAATTTGAAGATGATCAGATAAAAATTGTTTGAGTTATTGTAATAACAAGACAACAATTCCAAAATGATTAATATTATATCCAAGTTTGAAAGCAATTGGATAAAAACTCGTATTGTAATCACAAGAAGACAACAATTTTGAGTGAAAATTAACCAATATACCGAAAATTATACATAGATTACAAACCATAATTCAACTGGTCAAGATTCCAAAATGATTAATATTATATCCAAGTTTGAAAGAAATTGGATAAAAACTCGTATTGTAATCACAAGAAAAACAGAGTCAACAACAATGAGGACAGACAATTATCTAAGATGAAACAGACAAGGCAAAAAGTAACATGGATTTATAGATATTGAGTTTTAAATATATGACTTTTGTCACATCAAAATTTAACTATTTAATGCAGTACAGGAAAGCCATGTATGTCAGTCAAACATCAAAATAGCAAAGAGGGCATATTGTTGTAAACGTGTTGGGCAACATGGTATAGTTTACATAATATACATCATCAAAGTGAGTTGCCACATACCACTCTGTATCAGCCCACAGTTCCAAGTATGACAATCCTTCTCTCATTCTCCCCACCATCTCTAGAGGGCAGTCTATCATGCTGGCAGTATTCACAACACTCGTAACCAGCACGGCATCTCTCAGCACCACAGCTATCAGTAAACTCCATTCCAAACATGTTGCTTCCGAAAATATTTTCAGTAAATATCTGAAATAAATCAGTTAGATAATTTAGCTAAATTATGGCACAGTGCATGTAGCTGAAACTTTCAAAGATTTTCATGTACCAAACTATGGATTTCCTTTATTTTTTTAGTCCTTACTTTAATTCTGCTTCTGACTGTGGAGATCCTTGGTGAACAAGTTCTTGAGATAGCAGCTCTAACTCAGCCAACTGTTGGCTAGATCCCCACATACTGTCATCAAACGCTCCAAACTCACTCTCACCGAGTGTTGAACTGTTCTCTGACGTGATTTCTGTTGTGGTACAAGTACTTAGGCTTACTTCATCGTTGCCAACACCTGTAACAATAACAAGAAATGTCTTCCATTTACATGTAAAACAGCTAGGCAAGTGGTGCTACCATGCGTGAAATTTTAAAATAACATCACAATCTTATTTCTTACAAGTACATGTACAAATTCACAGTTCGTTCATTATTCAAACGCCATTTTTAACAACAGTGTCGTAGCTGCTCACCTTAAAACATGTTGCTGGAGCCAAATTCTATTAAATAATATGCTTTCAGTATTTCAATAATATGTGTGCCGTAGATGAAAAATACTCTAGGAAACAGTGTGTTGTCCTTTTACGTAATTTGGCAACAGTATAAACATAAATTTTAGTATGAAACAAAAGTAAAAGTAGAGACATCTGGAAAGGTTGTTACTCTGCAATATCAGTGCAATTTACATACAGGTACAATGCAGTTGTGTTCATCATCACCAGCACAAACCATGAATTTCTTTATCTATTATTGGTACATTATGAGTCAACTAATAGACAAGTATCTCAATACATTTAATAAGAGCAAGTTTTACAGTCCTCATACCTTTGTTAGCATTGACAGGTCGTAAAACAGCATCCTCAGTCTTGGTGTCACAGAGTAAGAAATCAGCATGCGTTGTCTGATGTCGACCCCTGGATGTTGATGTGGATGGACTGTTACCATAGCTACTACCATTCGTTGCCAGGATACCAGAATCTACTTCATCATCGAGGGAAAGTCCATTCATGTCATTTTCTGCACCGGTCTGGGAAGGTGTACATGATGAGGACTTGGAAACTGAGCGACCTGAAAAACAACAGAAACAGCCTGAGACCATAGAACAGTTATATCCAGTGTTTAAGATTTGTCTCTACTAAAACTTTATCACTGTATTTACTCTATTAGTAACACAAGCATTTCAATACATAAATGACAGGGCATTTATGTGATCACAAATATGTAACCATCACTTTATGATCTACTACGGTATATAATAAACACAATATGTGGTTTATGTTGAAGGATTATCCTTGGTAAAAAATTGCATTACCATTTTAGTGTAGAGTCCTAAATGTAAACATGAATGAATTGACACACCACACTTTGATCGTTCCTTCACACCAATATCCCAAAGTGAATTTATTGCCATAATGAAAGATTATTATGTATGATCTTACAAATTGATTGAAATTAGTTTAAGCACAATGACAACATGGTTAGTCCAAATCTAGCCATCTGATTGACTGAAGTAAGGTCTTATATCTGTGATCTTGCTCCAAACAGAATAAACTGGCTATAAAATATTCAAGGTTTACACTCGGTTATTATCTCCTGCCAAATATGCTAATTTTCCCAGAGATGTCTTATGTCCGCTACTAAATACCCTTTCTTGTCATTTATAAACTCTTATAATAATTTTCCACGCATACCATTCCTTTCTACTCAACACAGGGAATACAATTAATGATAGACTCAAGCTTACCTATATTCCTGGGAGGTGGCAGCTGAGACATAAGTGGAAATGTAGGTAGCGGCCACATGAAATCCTGATGAATATTCTTCAGACTTTGCACGAAGTCATCCACTTTAGCCACTCGTAATCTAGGGATAATCACAAACTATACATAATACACCAGCTGATGAATTCGGCCAAATTTTGTTATCGGTTGGCTTAATATAACTCCAACAGATCGTATTTTTGTGAAAGATTGGTATTTTTGTCCAGATTTGTAGGAATCTGAAAAACATGTTTCACAACTTGTCTCTTATTTAGTTTTATGCTGCATTCATTTTATTATCACGTGTGCGCCAGCTGACTGTGGTTCTGTGCCATACACTGCAATACTGCAGAATTTCATTGCTCAAGTAGGAGCCAATTCTATACTCACCTTTCTCTGTGTAACCATCCAATGAGTGGGAATTCAAGGTGAGCAGCAAACAACCCTAAGTCTTTAAGTTTTCCAGCACCGAGTAGTTTTCTAGCATGCCTAGTGATGATGGTGTCTAAGAAGAATTCATCTACTGCTGCACCAGTGTCTTTGCGAGGACTTCTGAAATGAAATGTGGAGCATAATTGCTTCAACCTTACTATAATCATAATTCTTGAGTTTGAGTGTGAAAACGTAGCAATTTATATTCTGGGATTTATATGCCACAGACTCAATAGCCAAGTTTCATTCACTATTAAATGTATGCAACTTTTTACTGTCACTGCCACATTGGACACCAAAACAGCAGCATGGCTGTCTGTAGCTGACTAGTTTGCAATGCATGTCTCAAGATTATTACAAGATTAGAACCACTCAGATCAAATCATTTTTACGACAGTGTGCCATTTGAATAATTGCATATGGTACACTAGTAAAACAAATTTGTTGGAAGAGAAATTAAGAACGAGATGATCAATCTAACATGTTTATAAAACATAATAATATAGCATTATATTCATGTATTGGGAAATACAATGGATTGAAAACAACACTATTTACTCTTAGACTAGTGTTATGCCGCACACGAGACACTCACCAGCAATTGTGGACAGACACACAAGACCATCAGCACGTACATTTTGTTTAATAATTTTTTGGGATAATTTTGCCATTTGTCATACTACAATTTATTTGATTCAATGAAATAGATTGAAAGGGAATCACATCTTCTATTGATATTCAATGTGTTCTTATATATTAGTTTGATATCTACTGTTGATTTGATCCAACTTGTTCCTAACAATGTAGAGACGTGCACAGAAAACCAGTCAGCAACTTAGCTGGCAATGTTGCTGTGTTGGTATCTGAAACAATATGACAGTGATATTAACCTTGATTTGAGATCAGTAAGGGTTTTTAGTTTCATTGCAACTAAATAATTGCAATGTACAACACAAACCTTTTAAAATCTATTTATACAACTTACTTCCTATCTGGCACTTGCTTTGGTTGAGTCATAGATCGTGATTTTTCTGGTCCACTTGGATACGGTACACTGGTATAACTACTACTTCTAACTCTCTGTGCAGCCGATGACGGACTAAATGGGAATGCTGATACGTTGTCTCCTTTTGGTGAGGTGGCAGCCATTGGGAATATACCCGGTGAGTTTATGGGTGCCGGCGTTCTTGGGGAAGACTCTGGATCATTTGGTCCAATAGCTCGAAGGAAGCGTACAAGGTCTTTACAGAGTTCCCATTTACCAAGGTCTAATGCTGTGTCAAGTAACTGAGTGGCATGCTGCAATAACAATAATACGTTATCACATGATCTGAAGTCAATGCAAATGTACCTGATTGGCCGTCCTGCCACCTAACAGTAAAACCATTCAAAGAACAGCTTGTCTGATTGTGCCTTGTCTATATGATTTGACACAATTGTGAAAGATGCTTTCACATTACGTCTATTCATGAACAACATTTATACCAGATCCAGTTTGCATGTATTCTGAAAACCTCAATGACACATCAAGATTGTTAAGCTCATTACTGTATGACTATTCTCTTCCAGCTGGGACTTAAGTGTTTTCAGGTGTTGCCAAAATTCAGTTTTGTATCACGTAAATTACAGAGGTGTGTCTATGGTCAATAATGTTTTACTGATGCAGCATACCATAAATGCAATTATTGGGTTAATTTTATTAGAGATGAATTTCTAAATACCATATATCAAAATATAAGAAAGTTGCTAAAACATGGAATTGCAGCCACTGACCATTATATGACATAATTAATTACATTTGTCCATGTCATATACTGTAAACAACTGAATTATGCAGTGACAATTTTCCTGTGCTTTGTCAAAGTGGGCAGTCAACAGTAAAAATATGAGACAGCAAATAGTTATAATAATATATAATAATTGCATCATCATGTACTCACATGTCTACTCAGTTTTGGTAGTTCTAAATTCTGTAATATGATGAGATAAGAAGCAGCTGTATCTAATGCCTCAGTTCTTAGACATTCCTAAAACAGATAAGAAGACAGAAAATTAGCCATGGTAAAAAAAAAAAAGTACTATGAAAAAACAACACAGCAGGAAAAGTTCTGGAGTTGGTGGCTGGATTTAGAAGTAGGGGGCCAAAATATGAAACTTTTTTTATACAATTGAATATTAAAAATGCAAAGTAAAGTAAAGCAGACAGCTACTTAGCTGGCAGTTACCTCTTAACAAACAAGCAGCCTATCGGCTGAGATAGCTCCGCTGTTAGCAATGCACATTTCAATTAAAGAACTGAAGACATCATTAGAAAATGAACAATATGAATAGTATCAAAGCAATCGGACTTACAGTTTTTAACAAGAAGTCGAAAATATCACTTTTTACCAAAAATTACAAAAATATTCACCAAAATAAATTAATTAGAGAATTGAAGACATCATCACAAAACGAACAAATCTGAGAGAGGTCCACATGTAGTACCTATATATGTAATATCAAAGCAATCGGACTTACAGTTTTCAACAAGAAGTCGAAAATATCACTTTTTACCAAAAATGACAAAAATATTCACCAAAATT